ACCAATTGATCAAAAGGACAATGGGGAAGAAGGTCTAGAACTCACAAAGAGATCTAGCTCTTTTCAAAACTTACTAAGAGATTTGAGAGAGATAAACTCACAAAGAGAACGCAAAGCAAATTTTCATTTCATCAAAACTGCTCTTACATGAGAAAATGGCCATATATATATATATATGCCTCAAAATGATAAAGAAATAAAAGACTAAAGTGCCCCTTGGGCTACAATAGCGACCAAATACCCATAAGGGAAAAAGTGGAAAACATAGAATAAAATAAACCACTACATAAAATGACTAAAAATACAACTCATGATCATGGCCGTCGATCTCCTGATGGTACATGTGTCGAAATCGCTGACGATGTCCTCATCATGGAGTTTGGAGAGAGAGCTAACCAAATATTTTTAACATATCCCAAGTTATGCATGGGAAAGTTATCTGATGAAGTCAGCTAGTTGTGAAGAGGTAAAGAAACATCCACCTAGGATGCTTGACCTATCCAATATTATTTTCTAAGCATTGCTTGATGACGTTAACCTGTGTGGAAAATATTGGATTTAATCCCCTTAAGATTGATCACCAAATGATTGAGATACAATGAAAGTTGTATAGTTGTTAAATCAAGGATAATAACTAAATTTTATTGGATCATAGTTTATTTGGGATCACCATTGTGACCTCGCTTGGAAAAGGAGATATAAAACATAATGGGAAAATAAAATTTTATTATCTTCAAAAAGATAATAGATTGACATAACTTAGGAGACAGAGTGATACACAACACTTAATTCAAAATATGTAAGTTATATATATAGGTAACATTATTGATAGCTATTGATAATATTTGAAAATATTTTTAGTATTATAAGTTTGAGGTAGTACTTTTCTATCAACATCATTCAACTTGAAAGTTTCAAACTTAATCATAATCGCTAGTATATAAGGGCCTTCCCATAAGGGAAAGAGTTTATTGCATTGGAGCCTTTTCCCAATTTCCTTAAGGCTATATAACCAAGTCTCAAACGAACATGCACCGAAGTTTCACCTTTCAATTATAGCGGCGAGCAATTTTCTATAGGTAAGTAGTAATTTAAAGCAAATCCACGCCTCTTATTTCTAGGAGAATATCCAAATTATTTCATAGTTTCTCATCATTATTGTTGAAAACAAAAAGTTTGTACTCTTAGGCTTGGGACTCCAATGTCGACCAAGATGACTTCCTGAGTGCCAAAGTAAATGTTATATGGTATTTCTCATGTTGGAGTCTTAAAAGTGGTGCATTATGACCAAAGAATAATTGGGAGTTCATTATCTCATTGCCCCTAGCCTTCCTACGTCTTTAGTCCCTTAAGTATAATTTAATTTGTAACCTCAGTCTGCCCATTTGTTTGAGGATGGGTTATGATTATGTGCATCGATTGGATAGAGATATCCTTGTAGAATGTCATGAAGATTTTTCCTGTGAACTGATTTCCATCATTTATAGTGATTTTTGTCAAAAGGATAAAATAACATATTATGTAGATTTAGAGACAAATTATTTGGCATTTACTTATGTAATTTTTTCCAAAGGTTCAAGCTCTATGCATTTGGTAAAATAATCTAAAGTTAAGATGATAAATTGTTTCTGCCTAGCTGTCATAGAAAATTGTCCTATTATATCAATCCCCCATTGGAGAAAAGGTTATAGGCTTTGGAGTGACGAGAGATCTACATCAAGTGAATGAGTAAGGTTGGAATGCAGCTGAAAATTATTGCATTTTTATATGAACTCCAGTGTATGTTGTTTCACTGTATGCCAATAAAATTTTTGCATCATGATTTTAAGAGCAAGTGCTTTCCTTCCTAAGTGGTGTTCACATATACATGAATGGATCTCCCATAAAGCATAATCAGCCTCTGACGATGGGATACACTTAAGGTATGGCCCAATACAGGCCCTCTTATATAACTCTCCACCAATGATGGTGAAGTTAGTTGCTTGTCTTCGGAGTAGCATTGTAGATGTTGATTCTTTGGGTAACACTCCATTTTACAAAAAGGATCAAATAAGATCAATCCAAGAGGGCTCCCTTGACTTATTAATCGACTATATAAACTAAGGACCTAGAATACTCAAAAAGTATATTTCTCAATACACTTTCTCTTGAAGAGATCCTTGATTGTTGATGTATCAAGTTCTGAGAGGGTATCTACACGTGAATTTTTATCCCATAGTATATGGATGATTTGATACTCCTTTTGTAGGCAAGGATCGACTTTATCATGTTACACTACTGTGTTGAATGCTGGATATGTGCATCAAATTCTCCCTCCACCTTAGAGATGACCAATTATGAATCAGAATGAATCACCAAATTTTGTACCTCATAGTCTATGACTAGCCTTAAACCAATAATGAGGGCTTCGTACTCAACAATATTATTTGTTGTAGGGAAAATCAATCATAGACCATATTTAAAGTAACTTGCTGAGGGGAGATTAATAAGATTTATGCCATAGCATTATAACTCCCAGAAGCTCCATCGATATACAATGTCCAACAAGGGGAATAAGGAGGAAAGACAGGTGGGTCATTAGAGACATGGATGGTGCATTCAACAACAAAGTCTATAAGTACTTGTGATTTAGTGTTAGGTCTAAGAAGAAAATGGATATCAAACTCTCTTGGTTTCACCGACCACTTGATTAATCTTCCAGATGCCTCAAGTTTTTTGGATAATATTTCTTAATGGGAGATTTATATAGACCCCAATTATATGAGCATGAAAATATGGGCATAATTTTTTAGATAAAATACTTGACAGAGGAGCGCATTTGAGGCTCGTTGAATATGCATAATAGTTCTATAATGATTAGTATGCTTATAAGGGTCGGATGACCTATCGTAAGAGCCTGTGTTGGATAATTTGAAACCCATGGGAATGGGGCATTGAAGGATGGCATTAGTTAAAGGAGATGATTCCTAAAAGTCTCGACGATGAAAGGGTTGCATTCCACCTCTTAAATGGAACTCTTCTCGGACCAATCACCATATTTCATCATGCAGGGCATTGTGTGGGATTTCAACAATGTAAAGTTGGGTCAAGTCCTCGATGATGACTAGGGGAATGTGAGTAGGGAGATCCATTTGAGAGGGATACGTAGAACTAGCAGTGTCAATGAGGTCAATGTCTTGTTATGATAGGGGATGAATCCTTGACTAAGGGATAGGAAGTTTTATATGAATATTTATAGGTTGAACGTCCCTGGCCAATGGTAGATCTTGATGGAGATGGGTCTCTTCTTATTGTGCTAGCACTAGTTGCAGTGTCCCTCACAAAAGTTGAAGGATTTCATTATAAGATTTCTCCATTTTTCGGATGCGGTCTTTTAGGGAGGGTCCTAATATCCCTTCTCCAGTTGAGTTTCGCCCACTAAGGTAAAGAGAGGCAGATGCCTGGCCTTCCTGATTTATAGATCAGTTACTATATTGATGTGTGTAGGAGCGGGAGGCTCCATTGGTGCAATTGTTACACCCATTGGCCATTGAAGGGGTTTCAATTATGCTTATAAGGGTGGGATTGTTTCCCACAAATGACACTAAATTATTATGGGCTTGTATATTCTCGGTGGTAAAGAGATAATTTCACGTTCTAGCGATGCATGGATATTAAGTACACAAATAGATAATTAAGAGAGCAAAGAAACAACATATTTTTTTTACATGAAAAACCCAAAGAGGGAAAAAGCATGAGGCCTTCCCTATGTGAAAAGATTACACTATATTTGTGCAAATTATAAAGATCAACTTGTCCCTTAGCTTAGAGATGATTACATTACAATAGTTTGGGGAATTGGTCACACTTCTTGTGGGTACTCGGGAGTTTGTAATGACCATGATTGAATGATAGGGGTCAAAAATCTTATGGCAGCGACTGGGAGAAGGTCAAGTAGAGCTTGGCAGCCGGGTGACGGTACAATGATTATTAGTGACCGGGCATAGGTCCATCTATGGTCAATGATATGGGAAAGTCTGGTGGCAGTTGACGGTCAAGGGTCCGACGACAGATCTCCGACAATAGTCGACTGCTGAGTGGGTTCAGGTGTCTATCAGTGACAAATCGGTGTTTCGGCGACAGTTGGGGACCAAGCAGTGGTCCGGCAGCAGTCGGTGGCTGGGAGGAGGTTCAAGAGTGGTCGGTGATAGGGCGGTAGTCAGACAATGGTCGGGCGAAAGTTTGGTGGAGATTACCGGGTGAGCGGTGGTCCGACGGTGGGCTGCCGAATGAAAGTTTGACGGAGATCGGCGAACGACCAATGGTCCGAGGACAGTCCATAGATAGACAATGGTCCGACGATGGTCAGGCGGAACTCCGATGGAGATCGGTGGCTGGGTGGTGGTCTGAGGACGGTCGGGTGAAATTCTGGCAGCCAGATGGAGATTTACCAGCTATAGTACTCGGTTATAACTCAAGGATCTTTGAAGTCTTAAAGCTCTCTTTAATCTATAGCCAAAGGTCCCTCCTCATGTAGAGAGTGATGATCTATTTATAAATTTTGAGAGTGACAAGTTTTATAAATATGAAGAAAATTCAGGACAAATTTGGAGTGTTCCATCAGACGACACAAATTAAGTGATCTTGGGCTTGTTGGATTTGTCTCATCAAGCCGCTCAATTCAACTATAAGAATGTCATATTTTGATATTATTTAGTCATTCAATTAATATTTTTAAGCTTTCAAATATGTCATGGTTCCTTGATTTGAGCCTATTTAGGCTCGAATTGGAGCAATTTTGGTGTCGTTAGATTCCTCTTATTGAGAGGTTCAATTTGACTGTAAATTTGATGAAATTGAAATCCGGATGATCCTGAATATAAGTTGGAAATATGCCTTGAATTCGTGTGTTATCAATATGATTTTTTGTGAATTAAAAATAATAATAATAAAATAAATATTAAATTATTTATATGCAATTAAGATAATAATCTATTATACATAAATTACCCTGAGCCAATTTTCTTATCAGGTCTGTGTGATCTCGTTGGTAGTTCATTTCTCCCTTTCTACCTTATCCTGCTGTCTTTGACCCCCTCTCCTGCTTTAATCCTCCGGTGATGCTGCCGCCTTCTCCCCAATCTCCGGCGACTTCTTCCACCCCTCTCCCTCCTATCCACCTGCGCTCATCCGCTAACAAAAGCTATAACGTCCCCTTACCCCGCTCTAACAAGTCTCGTCGCCGCTTCTACCACCTAATTGGAGCCGATGCCACTCCAGCCAAACTCTCGTCTTCATCCTCTCCTTCCCTCTCTCCATCCTCCAACACTGCGGCCGAATCCCTATCCAGCGACGCCACGCTCCTCAGCCTCCTCCGGCAGCGGAAGACGGAAGAAGCCTACGAGCTTTACTCCCGCTTCCGCCACATCCCCAGCCCCACCTGCCTGAGCCGTCTCCTCGCCCAACTTGCCTACCAACGCTCGCCCACTGCCCTCTCCCGCGCTCAATCCCTCGTCCGTCGCCTCCGTGACGCCCGCCTTCTCCACCGCCTCGACGCCAACTCTCTCGGCCTCCTTGCAGCGGCCGCAGCCAAGTCCGGCGCCGCCTCCTACGCCCTCTCCCTCATACGCTCCATGCTCCGATCCGGCTACCTACCCCATGTCAAATCCTGGTCCGCCGTAGTCAGTGCCCTCTCCTCCAATGCCGATCCTGATGGCTCAACCGATGCACTGCGCCTCTTCGACTCCGTACTCCGCCAAATCGCCACTGCTGATTCCCCCCTCACAATCAATTCCCGCCCCGACACCGCCGCTTTCAACGCCGCACTCAACGCAGCCTCCAATTTAGGCGATACAGCGCTCTTCGCGCAGCTATTCGACAAAATGCCTGCTTTCGAAGCAAAGCCAGATGTTCTCACCTACAATATCCTCATCAAACTCTACGCCAGAGCCGAGAGGAAAGACCTCCTAGTCTTCGTTCTCGAGCGCATAATCCGAAGCGGTCTCGTTCCCTGCATAACCACGTTCCATTCCCTCGTTGCTGCCTACATCGGTCTTTGCGATTTGCCCACTGCTGAGAAACTCGTTCAATCCATGCGTGAAGGTAGACGCGACATTTGCCATCTTCTCCGCGCAGAGACGTCAAAGATCCTAACCACAAGTAATGAGGAAGAACCCGGTTCAATACTAAACAAGCTCGCTGCCATCGCCGGCGATGAGCCACCACCTCTGCTCCCGAAGACATACAAGCCGGACACGCGGATCTACACGACACTAATGAAAGGGTACATGATGGCTGGCCGCGCTGACGACGTGGTCAGCATGGTTTCCGCGATGTGGCGCGAGCCAGACCCATCAAGCCATCCAGACATTGTCACCTACACAACGGCCATTACCGCTCTAACAAACGCTGGCGCCATGGACCGTGCCCGCCACCTGCTCGACGAAATGTCCCAGTATGGCGTTACCGCCAATCGTGTCACCTACAACGTTCTCCTCAAAGGCTACTGCGCCCAGCTCCAGCTCGACAAAGCCAAGGCGCTCATGCACTCCATGGCCGAAGATGCCAGGATCGAACCGGACGTCTTCTCCTACAACATTCTCATCGACGGCTCCATCCTCGTGGACGACAGTGCTAGTGCCCTCGCCTTCTTCAACGAGATGCGGGAACGCGGGATTCCCCCTTCCCAGGTCAGCTACACCACGCTGATGAAGGCATTTGCGCTGTCAGGCCAGCATATTCTTGCCCACAAGGTGTTCGACGAAATGGAAAAGGACAAAAGGGTGAAGGTGGACCAAGTGGCGTTCAATATGTTGGTCGAAGGATACTGTAGATTGGGTTTGATAGAAGAAGCTAAGAGGATTGTGGAGAGAATGAAGGAGAAAGGATTCTCTCCGGACGTTGCGACATATGGCAGCCTGGCTAATGGGATCGCTATGGCTAGGAAGCCCGGCGAAGCATTGTTGTTGTGGAACGAAGTAAAGGAGCGCTGTGCGGCCGGTGATGTTGATGGTGGCGGCGGAGGAGGAAGGGGATTTAGACCGGACGAAGGGCTGTTAGATGCGCTTGCGGATGTATGCGTGAGGGCGGCGTTCTTCAAGAAGGCACTGGAGATCGTGGCGTGCATGGAGGAGTATGGGATCGCGCCGAACAAGACGAAGTATAAGAGAATATACGTGGAGATGCACTCGAGGATGTTTACAAGTAAGCACGCGTCGCCGGCGAGGCAGGCGAGGCGGAGCGAGCGGAAGAGGGCGGCGGAGGCGTTTAAGTTCTGGTTGGGTCTGCCGAATTCGTATTATGGGAGCGAGTGGAGGCTGGAGCCCATCATGGAGGCCGATTAGGCTTTTAGTCCTATGAAACAAAGAAAAATAGTTTTTTTTTTTCTTTCTTTTATTTGTTTAAAGAAAGATAATTTTTAAAGCCATATTGCTTCTTTTGCCCTTTGTTATTTTGAAGTTATTGCGTGTGAATTAAGTACATAATTTTATTTGTAAAAGATCAATGTATATATTATGTATTTAATTTTTTCATATGGGTAATTGATGTGCGTGAGAGTGAGGAAAAGAATATAGAAAAGCAGTGAGAAAAGAAAGTAGTTGATGAGTTGCCCTAATGAAGATGTCATATATATATTTTTTAATTACTCGGATGATTGTACTTTTTGTTTTGGGGAAAATGATTGTACTTTAACACTTGTTTTATGTATTTCTTGTATATATATATTTTTTTTTTGGGAAAAATTGGGGCTTAGCCCTTATATTTATATACCAAAAAATGAAAGGCTTACAAAAATAGCCTACGAACTACAGCCTACAAAATACAGCCACTAAAAACCAAAAGAGAATACATAAAACAAGAAAACAATGAGAAGAAAGTTAAAAAACCAGGACTCAGGCAATCTGGAACGCACCTTGGACAAAACCGTCAAATCCAAGAGCTCAATTGTACCGTGCCAACAGGAAAAAAGTTACCCCGGTTGCCAAAATGCCACAGCCCGAGCAGTTATACTCGTTACGCTTTTGAAATAACTAAAGCTTTTCATAATGATAAATATTTTTTCCATTATTCCAAGGTTCTAATTGATCAAATACATCAAAAGGTTAGCACCCAACGCATTTAGTGTACTAGATGTGATCCTTGGGTTAGTTTTTATGTAACGATCCGACCTAGAAATTCAAATTAATGAGACGGGAATGAATAGTCGAACAGTTAATTCATTTTTTCACAATTAAATATAACAATAATAACTAATATTCCACCTCAAACACTAAAGAGCCACTAACACTATTTGTACATTGAATATAAATTTAAAAATAACACATTTTACTTGCATTCATTTGAGCGTCGTCCTACGCACTCAAAATTCTCTCTTTCAAACACTTCTACCTATCAAGAGACTTACCTGAAAGAGTTAATTTAATAGAGTGAGTTTACCAAATAAACTTAGTGGACAATCATACCTATAATATAGTAATTTTGCATATATAAATGTTTTTAAGTTTATATATTTAATTATAGAAACCATTAAGTGGCTCATATATTTGAATTATTGAAATTTAGTTTTTATATGGATCTTATTGGTCAAGAAGATATAATTTGATCAATCATTTATGAACCGTTTGATCAAATAACTCCTATGAACGGTTATTATAACTAATCCATAGGAAACAACTACCGGTCTTCTCTCTCTCTCTCTCTCTCTCTCTCTCTCTCTCTCTCACACACACACACACACACACACACACACATTATGGAGTTAGTTTGTTCCATAGAGAATTAACTCTTTAAAGAAGAAAGTGAGGAAAAAGGAAGAGAAATCGTAGTTTGAAATTCAATGAATTCAACATGAATCAAGGTATATTTTCTTCTGATTAAAAACTTGTGAAAATCATCTTTTTTTAGATCTTGTGGATTTAAGATTTATGTAAATTCATATTTTTCGTTTTTATTTCTTTTACATAATTTATGATGAGAGTTCTTGCAAAAGTTGGAGAACTCATAATGCATGTTGCGAGTTCTTGTAAGAGTGTGAGAACTTTAATCTTATGTGAATGAAGTTCTTGTAAGAATATGAGAACTCTTGAAACTTACATTTTTTTCCACCATATACACTTTTAATTTCACTTTCATTTTCCTTTGCTTGTGTTTTAAATCTATACATACATTTTTCACATATTCATGTACATTCATAGTATCATGATAGTTTATATGCATCCCTACTTATATAATAATTTCAAATGTTAAATTTTCATCATTATATATATACATTTAATTTTACATCATCTTGTATGTAATGATATCAAATTATAAGCAAAATAATTATATATGACATTACATTTAGAATTAAAATGAAAATAAAATAATGAAATTGTCATAAATAACTGTAATTACCTACTTTATTTTCTTTTGTACTTCAACACCCTTGCAATAATCTTCTTTATTATAACTAAAGTCACACACAACCACAAAAATTATTACTATCTTTAACTTTTATTATTTTACATAAATGTTTCTTTAATGAATTATTACATCAATTCTCCTTGGAGATCCTTTATTGGTTTCGACACTTCGCCTTCACGCACTAGATTAATCAAATTCTCTTATGTTCAAATTTCTACTACGACATTAACATTAGTAATCAACTTTGAAGAGATTCTTATAGCTTAAAGCAATAATAATAATGGTCAAGTTTCAAACTTGTATCTTTTACCTAAAGAAATATTTCCTTCATAATAATCATTTCCTTCCTTCACAGACAAATTAAATCTTACAATAATTGAACTCTTCCTACGACAATAATATTTTCTTTCAGTTAGAAAACATTATAAATTTTTTTTCTCTAAGCTTAAACATAAAAGATTACAAAAAGTATAAGAAATTTTCTTACACTTTCTTATGAAGACATTTTCAATCCAAATACTCCCTCTTTCTTCATCATATTTTCTTCCTTTACCTTTAGAGAAGACATTCTCCTGTTGATTATAAAAAATATCATGAAAGGATTTATACAAAAATGGAAAAAAAAAATCAACGAACATACCTTCTTTGTTCTTCTTCCTCTCGTTCATTGTCTTTTCTCCAAAGTTTTTCTTCTTTAGTGATAATGAGCGAATAAGAGGGAGTTATTTTTCATGAGGAGTCATCTATTTTCCTTTCCAAGTTCAAACCTTTGCTCGGAATCGAAAACCAACCCTTCCATCCCCACCTACGCTCGAGTGAGGTCTGCCTGGGCCGCAACTTTACCCGATTAATGCCTCTCTAAATTGTCTGTTATATTAAGAGATATCAAGTTCAAATGAATTGGATAGGTCCGGTTCAGATGAATCAGATAGGTCTGATTCTTACAGCACAACCCTTACAAATATTTCTTCCTCAAAATTTAAAATAAAGTATAAGTAAACATACCTTAATTGAATAGATGGGGGCATTGAAGTTTCATGTATGACTGTTTCTCCCAAGTGGCATCTCTTTCTATTCAATGATTCCATAAAATCTTCATAAAAGGTATTTCTCGATTCCTTTGTTATTTCTCATCATATTGTAGTATTCTTTTAAGTTCTTCAACATAATTAAAATTAAGCTGCAAGTCAATAAATTTTGATTGGATTATTTTTGATTCATCTGATACATACTTATAAAACACTGATAAGTGATATACATTGTGTATTCCTTGCATATGTATTTGCATATCCAATTTATTGGCCATATTTAATATCCTCTCAATAATTTCCAAAGGTCTGATAAATCGTGGGCTCAATTTTCCTATTTTTCCAAATCGTCACTCACCTTTCATTAGACTGAATTTAATGAAAATAAATTCACCCACTTCAAACTCAACTAGTCGGTGATATGCATCATAAAATTTCATTTGCCTATCCTACACTGGTTTTAACCTATCTCTAATCAATCTAATTTTCTAATAGCATCGTCCACCAGTTTATTACAAATTTATTTTTCTTTCACTTGCTTATGCAAAACTCAAGTGTGTTTTACACTTCCTTTCATAAAGTGCATCGTGTGATGTCATTCTAATGCTGGATTAAAAACTGTTATTATATACAAATTCAATTAATGGTACATGAGTTTTATAATTTCTTTAAAAATCCAAGACAAATAATCGCAGTAAATCCTCTAAAGTATGAATTGTCATTTATGATTGCTAATTTGTGTGTGGGTGAAATGCAGTGCTGAAAGTCAATCTAGTACCCATAGCTTCCTGAATCTTCTTCCACAATCTAGAAGTGAATCAGACATCTCTTTAGAGAGTATTGATTTTAGAATTCCAAGAAATCTCATAATTTCATCAACATATAGCGTCGCCAATTTATCCACTGAATTTGTTTATTTAATTGGTAAGAAATAGACAGATTTTGTCAATCCATCTATAATAACCCAAATTGTATCCAGACTCTGCCTTAACCTGGGTAACTTAATAAAAAAATCCATTACAATTTCTTCCCATTTCCATTCATGTATTCGTAAAAGTTGTAACTGACCACCTAGCTTTTAATGTTTAGCTTTAACCATTTGATAAGGAATGCATTTTATTATAAATTCTACAACACATTTTTTCAATCTTGGCCACCAAAGTAATGCTCTCAATTCTTGATACATTTTTATACTACCTTAATGAATTTCATAATTAAAGAGATTATTTTCTTATAATATTTCTTCCCTTAAATTGTCAGCATTTAAAATACATATTCTATATTTATACTTCAACAATCCTTGACAATACAAAAATTTCCAACTATCATGCCTTCATTTTCTTTATAATTTCTTAAAATTTTACATCTTGAGATAATTAATTGTATATTATATATTTCAAAGTGGATTGAATCAACAGTTAATTTAATAGCATGACTTTGGTATTTTTTTATTAAACATTGAAATTTTTAATATTTTCACATCTTTAATTATCTGTTCATGCTAAGTTATCAACCAATTTGCTCCTCTAAGAGTCTTTCTGCTTAATACATCTACAACTACATTTGTCTTTCAAGATGACACTATATATATTTGATAAGCTCTAAACATAATCTCTACCTTAGATTAAGCTCTTTTTGATTAAGCATATACTTAAGGCTTTTATGATCTATAAAAATTTCCACTTGACCCCATATAAATAATGTCTCCATATTTTGAGTGCAAAAACTATAGTTGTTAACTCCAAATCATAGGTGAGATAGTTTCTTTCATGGACTTTCAATTGTCTTCAAGCATATGCTGATTCTTTAACATTTTACATCAGTACACATCCAAGACTTCTCAATAAAGCATCATAGAAAATTTGAAATCCCTCCATACTTGAAGGAATTATTAATATAGGAGCGGTCATTAAGAAATTCTTCAGATCCTAAAAAGCTCTTTTATACTGATTATTTCATTCAAGTTTTATTACTTTTTGAGTTAATCTGGATAATGACATTACAATCTAAGAAAATCGTTCTACAAATCTCATATAATAACTAGTAAGACCCAAAAAGTTATTACTTTTAAAACTACAGTAGGCCTTGGACATTCTGTAATAGCTTAGATTTTTTATATCAACATAATTACCTTCACCACTAATCATATGCCCAAAAATATTTATACCGCTCAACCAAAATTTAT